AAAATTCAAAAACAAACAAACAACTAAAAAAATTGCTAAAAATGTTATCAGTCTTATTATGTGTGATGTAATGTCACACAAGGAACTGCTAAACAACAAATAATTACTCTTCTAGCAACGTAAACCATGATTCAAATCCTCATAAGCAATCATTACTATACACAGGCGATCCAACAAATATATATGTAAAATTCCAATAGATCTTAGAAACAAAATAATCATAGAAGATACTTAGCGTTTCTTTTTAAGCGGAATTGACGATCATTCATCTTAATGTCAAAAGTCATTGACCAAACACAGCTATGCCACTTTTTTTGGTTATTCTTCAGATCTTCATTGTTGTGATCAGTCGTCAAATCGACAATGTCGTGAAATCTGTCGTAATGTCCTACGTACCCAGACAACCGATCAAGAGATAATTGACAGCTTGATTAAAGGGGGATGTGGTCCACCTCTACCTCATGTGAGTAAATCCATTTACGTTGTTAAATGTCAAAAAAATTGACTGATTGACAGATCTATCGAAACAACGGGAGACGTTATCTCCCTCTTGCATTTAAATAAATAAAAAATGTGGTTAACGCTAGTTTTGATCAATATACCCAACAAGGTGAATAACATTCAGAACAGAGCAATGAAATGAATCCTAAATGAAGTGACAGCTACAATATTACTCGCAGTTGAACTTAATTATTGTGTTTAAATATATTCGTATTAAATTAAGCCTATGTTGAATGTGCATCGTTATTGCTAAGCCTGTTTGACATTTTTCTTCATTAGTGTTAACTGTAAGTGAGGTGTCGCACTTGAAAAAGTTTTAGTTATTTTATGCGTGGATGTAAATTGTTACATTGATTATCTGGAAAATGAACAAAGGTATTCGTGATTTTCATGATAATTCCTCCCAACTCTCATTGGTGAGACCGAGTGAAAAATAAATTGTTGTCTTTCCGCTAAAGAGCCTCAAACTTAGTATGAAATGCTCATACTTTTTTAAATTGTGAGCAAAGAATTAGAACATAACATGACATTTTCAAATGCTTATTCTACTTAGTTGCAGTCCCGTCACTGAAACTTTTAATCTGTTGTGGTTTACATCAATCAATAACATTTTAAATAACCATTCAAAATTTAAAGAGAAATTTAAAATAATTTATTTTACACAGTGAGTAACAAAAAAAAAACCAGAAAACTGTGGCTTGGTGGTTAGAGCGTTTGACCCGCAATCCTTTGTTTGGGAATATTTAGTATCTTCTTAAACTGTACTCCTGAACTGAAATGTTAACCATTTAGTTTACATGCAGTACAATAGCATTAATCTATAGACAACGTTAGTTTTACAAATTAAGTCTTTAGACATGTTTATTTAAACAACTTACTTCATTGAACATAGAGTGAAGTACCCCCCCCCCCCAATATTGGACTTCTAGTTTGTTACTGTATTTTAAGAATAGATTGATGGATGCTGAACTAGATAGTGGACTTCTGTTTATTACTGTATTTTAAGATTAGATTGATAGATGCTGAACTAGATAGTGGACTTCTTGTTTATTACTGTATTTTAAGAGCATCCATCAATCTATTGAACTAAATAGTGGACTTCTTGTTTATTACTGTATTTTAAGAATAGATTGATGGATGCTGAACTGGATAGTGGACTTCTAGTTTATTGCTGTATTTAAGATTAGATTGATGGATGCTGAACTAGATAGTGTATTTTAAGAATAGATTGATGGATGCTGAACTAGATAGTGGACTTCTTGTTTATTACTGTATTTTAAGAATAGATTGATGGATGCTGAACTAAATAGTGGACTTCTTGTTTATTACTGTATTTTAAGAATAGATTGATGGATGCTGAACTGGATAGTGGACTTCTAGTTTATTGCTGTATTTAAGATTAGATTGATGGATGCTGAACTAGATAGTGGACTTCTTATTTATTACTGTATTTTAAGAATAGATTGATGGATGCTGAACTAGATAGTGGACTTCTTGTTTATTACTGTATTTAAGATTAGATTGATAGATGCTGAACTGGATAGTGGACTTCTTGTTTATTACTGTATTTTAAGAATAGATTGATGGATGCTGAACTGGATAGTGGACTTCTTGTTTATTACTGTATTTTAAGAATAGATTGATGGATGCTGAACTAAAT